ACAGGAAGATGTTTGTCATTTCATACCTGTGATTCCATGATGGCCAAAACATCTTGCCATTGTTGCTCTAAAGTTGTTGATTCCTGTTCAGGCAACAAGGGTGACATGAGTGGCCTCTGAAACTCGGAAAGTGCATGTTCTCCTACATTCTGTACATCAGGACCTGTCAACTGAGAAAATTAAAAGTTAAGAAGTTTGGAAAGCCTACATTTTCTTTTTTGTCTCTCTCCAGCTCTAAAACAATTCCTGCTGCACAAATTGTTGTAAAAAGATGAAATGTTGCATTCTAGATTAAGTTTTTACCTCTGGATCTCCTTCTGAGGGGAAGTTGGCATCGATGAGATGCAAGCACTCGTCAATGGAAAGAGAAGCATCGTCCCTTGCACCGGACAACTGAAAGAGGAGCGAGTGAGCATGAGGAAATTGTTTAATAAAACTCATATCTCTCTGTTATCTGTCAAGGTCAAACTATGACGGCAATGGTGCACTGCTTTGGAATGTGGAACGTCATCATAAAGGTCAGCAGTAACAAGGTCAATAAATTCACTGGCAAAATTGACTTTTCACACAATATGTTCGCTCAATTTTGAGTGTCTTTTGTGTCCTATTCACAGTATTCTAGTACTTTAGCTCAATGTACTTCTCTGCAAGTCAAAAATAACCTGATGGAAAGGACAAATACTAATAAATTTAAACAAAAAAGACAATATTTAGTGTCTTGTTGTGAATATGTTCACTGTCATACCTGTAGATCCTCTCCAAACATTTGGTTGTGAAATGGATTTGAATTTCTCCAGCTATCCACCATAAATTCATCTTCCTCCTCTTCTTCCTCATTAAACAAGCTGAGAGGCTGGGTTCTTGCATTTTCCAGCTGCTCCTGGTGGACATTTTGCTGAGGTTCTTGCTCCCAGAAGAAAGACATACCATCTCCCTCCTGCAAATGCAAAAGTAAAGCATCGTGTCTAGTATCTCAGGAAGTACGTTCTCTAATGGATAGGAAGTGGCGGTGTCTGGTAAGTCAGGATGGTCTATTGCTGCCTTCATGTGATTTTGGAAACTTCCCACTTAAAGTTGCAATTACGAGTTTGTTGCATTCAAGTGCTTTGTTGTCGGAAAGACTCCTGGTGGAAGGCCCATTCATGAGTTTATTATTGCCTGTTTCCTGGGGAAATCTTATTAAAGCCAAAATGTATATAAAATATTAAGTCAATATCCAACAGGTTTTTAATCAAATGTAGCGTCCCATTGATTAGTAACCATTAAAACATTGACTGATATTAAGCTGGCTGATGATTCTTAGGGCCTGTCCAACTTGGAAGCTCTTGTATCAAAATTATCTTTTAGTTCCTCAGTTATAAATATGACCTGAGAGGCCGCTCATGTCTAATTTCTGACTAGGAAATTCATACTTACAATAATTTAGATACCACATGAAGACAGCACAACTTCCTGGTGATTCCTGGAATTTTATATATACAGTGGGTACGGAAAGTATTCAGACCCCTTTAAATTTTTCACTCTTTGTTATATTGCAGCCATTTGCTAAAATCATTTAAGTTAATTTTTTTCCTCAATGTACACACAGCACCCCCATATTGACAGAAAAACACAATTTTTGACATTTTTGCAGATTTATTAAAAAAGAAAAACTGAAATATCACATGGTCCTAAGTATTCAGACCCTTTGCTGTGACACTCATATATTTAACTCAGGTGCTGTCCATTTCTTCTGATCATCCTTGAGATGGTTCTACACCTTCATTTGAGTCCAGCTGTGTTTGATTATACTGATTGGACTTGATTAGGAAAACCACACACCTGTCTATATAAGACCTTACAACTCACAGTGCATGTCAGAGCAAATGAGAATCATAAGGTCAAAGGAACTGCCTGAAGAGCTCAGAAACAGAATTGTGGCAAGGCACAGATCTGGCAAAGGTTACAAAAAAAT